ATTCCACATTATCTGTAGTAACAAAGTATAACACAGATTTGACAAAAAATGTTTAACTTTATTATACCTTAAGGTACAAATTTAAGGTATCACTATTCCTTAAATACTCAGATTTAAGGTAATCAACAAGTAATTAAACTGCCTGATAAAATGAGAATCTACACTCTTCAAAGACAGATAATAGAATCATATTATACAATGAGTTATTAAAATATTCATAACTCAATTAAAAGAATCAATAGATATACAAAGAAGTAAGAGAGCACAGCCTACAGTCACAAAAGCATGTAGTTAGTAGAAACAGAACTCAACATGGCACAGATCTTGGACATAACATAAAATTACTTAGAAACAGCTACTATAAATGTGTTTCAGGAATTAAAGGAAAATATGTTCAAAGAGGAAAGGAAAAGACGGGGGAGGGGTGAATGAAAAACCAGGGCATCTCAATAAACACATAGAAACTTAAAAAAAAGAACCAAATAGAAACTTTGGGACTAAGTAATATGTTACATGAAATGGAAATTCAGTGGAGGGATTTAATAATAGTTTGGAGATATCAAAATAAAGAGTCACTTTGAGAACAGATTATATCATTTGAAGATTCTAAGGAAAAAATATTGAAGAAAAATGAAGAGAACACTGGTAAGAATAGATGATCTAACAGATGCCCTTATTTTATCAGGCACATGTCTGATAAAATATAGATTCTAAAAATTAGGAAAAAGCAATAAAAGAGAATTACAGGTCGGGTTTTCTTGTGAATATAGATGCAAAAACTATATAAAATATTATCCAACATAATGTAAAATCATGTTTACAAAATAAAATAGTATAAAATTAGAAGAAAGGTAAACCTTTAGGAAAATCTCTCAATGCAATTCACTGATAGGCTAAAACTGAAAGCTCCTGTGATCATCTTAATTGGTATAAAAGGGCACTTGCCACCTCCACTGGAGTATTTTGAAGCAAATCCCATTTCATCCATAAATAATTCAATGTGTATTACTTTCTAAAACATCAGGAATATTTTACTTAGGTTATGTATTTTTTATAATTTATATGTTGAAAAAAATCATATTGTGTTTGTTTTGCGGCTTCCATCCCTACACTTTTGTCTAAGAAGTTACTGTGAATCTTGTATTCTGTGTACATTGGTGATTGATTTGGATGCTTGGTCAGATTCTAGCTTGATTTGGGGGCATAAATTAATGATAGTTTTGTGAATTCCTTTTTTTTAATTGTTGGTTGTTCAAAACATTACATAGTTCTTGATATATCATATTTCACATTTTGATTCAAGTGGGTTATGAACTCCCATTTTTACCCCGTATACAGATTGCAGAATCACTTGTGAATTCCTAATTGCATCACCTCAGAAGGAACATTCTACTAATTGGCTCTTTTTTTTTTTTTTTTTGTGAGATTAACATCGAGTGGTATGTTTGAGTGTGGACACACTGATCTAGTCATTGCACCATTCCTCATCAGTTTTTCAACAACGGTTTTAGCAGACATGGGTGCTCTATTCTTCATTTCTATTTACTTACATCTGGGATTTTCTTTTCCTTTTTATTAGAGCACAGTTAAACATAGCAGTTGAGTTAATTTTGACAAAAATCACACATGAATGCAATTTGGCTTCAATCCCAGTTCTTCCCTTTTTCTCTCTTACCTTCCCCTATTCTCTTCCCTTGACTTTACTGATCTTCCTTTATTTATTTTTGATTAGTACTTTATTCATAAAGGTGAAATTCCCTGTGGTATATTTGTATATACATATAAGGTGTTTTTGTTAAATTCCTTACATTTTTTCTCCCTTTTCCTGTCCTCCCTCCCTCCCTCTTCATCTCCTATTTACTTCACCAAATATTCCCTATAATTTTATTTTATCTGATTGCTGCCCACTGCCCCTTCCTTCTTTTCATTTTGTCCTAGTTTCCACATATTTGAGAAAACATTCAACCCTCGATTTTCTGAGTTTAGCTTATTTCACCTAGATTATTTAACTTAGATGTTCTCCAGTTCCACCCATTTATTGGCAAATCCCATTATTTCCTTATTCTTAATGGCTGAGTAAAATGCCATTGTGTATATACAGCACGTTTTCTTGATCCATTCAGATGAATGGATTGAAAGGCATCTGGGATGATTTAATAATTGGTTATTGTGAATTATTCTGCACAAACATTGAAATTGCTTTATCACTATAGTATACTATTTAAGTTCGTTTTGATAAGTACCAAGGAATAGGATAGTTTGGTCATATGGTGGTTCCATTCCTAGTTTTTTGGAGACTCTCCATACTACTTTCCAGAGTTATTATACTAATCTGCAGTCACTACCTTTTCTGCCACCTCCTTCCCAGTATGTATTATTATTTATGTTCTTGGTAATTACCATTCTGACTGGAGTGAGATGAATTTGTAGTATAGAATTGATTTGCATTTCCTTGATTGCTAGAGATGTTGAACATTTGCTCATGCATTTTTTTTTGGCTATCTCTACTTCTTCTTTTGAGAATAATATGCTTAGTTCTTTGGCCCATTTAAAATTTTTTTGGGGGACATTAAGCTTTTTAAATTCTTTATATATTCTGGATATTAATCCCCTGTCAAAAGAGTAGATTTTCTTCTGTTCTGTAGGGTCTCTTTTTACACTCTTAATCATTTCCTTTGCTGTGAAGAAAGAAATTTTCAATTTGATGGCATCCCACTTATTTATTCTTGGTTTCATTTCTTCAGCTTTTAGGATTCTTGTGAGGAAATCAGTTTCTGCACCTGCATGATGGAGTGTTGACCCAGTGTTTTATAAAGGTTCTGGTCTAATTCCTAAGTCTTTGATCCATTTTGATTCAACTTTTGTACAGGGTGAGAAGCATCTAATTTATATACATTCTTCTATATATATCTAGTTTTCCAAGCACCATTTGTTATAAAGGCTATCTTTTCTTCAACATTTTTTATACTTTTTTTGCACCTTTGTCAATTATCAGATGGCTGTAAGTAGGGGTGTTTGTCTCTGTGTCTGCTACTCTATTCAATTGGTATTTGTGTCTATTTTAATGCCAATACCATGCTGTTTTGTTACTATAGTCCTATAGTATAATTTAATATTTGGTATTATGCTACCTTCTGAATCGCTCTTGCTCTGTGGCTGAGAATTTTCTATGAAGAAATTTCATTGGACAACTCTCTGCTCTCCCTTGGGTACAGTTCAAACAAGATTCTCAAGAAAGATGCTTAATTCTTCTTGTTTTTGAATAAGATCCAGAATTATTTGGTTCTTAAAGTCATTCAAAGGTGTCCAATATCTTTTCTCCCCCTTGAGTAAAATCACCAACTTAGGAATGTTCAATGATTCCCCCCAAAATGTTCATGTCCTACAGGGACATGGAATTTATGAAAGTTTATCTCTGGAATTTCCATCTCTGAATGTTTATTTACATACCAAAGGGAGAATTAAGGTTACAGTCAGAATTGATGTTGGTAATCAGCTGATTTAAATAGGAAGGTTATTCTGGGTTATCTAGGTGTGCTGAAGCAACCACAGGGTCCTTAAAAGTAGAAGAGGGAGGTAGGAAATAGGTCAGTGATGCAATGTGAGAAAGACTTGATTTGCAATTGCTGACTTAGAAAACAAGAAAAAGGGTCCGAGATCTGAGAAATGCTGGTTTCTTCTAGAAGCTGAAAAAGGCAAGGGAATGGATTCTACGGCCTCCAGGAAGGAACCCAGCCCTACTGATCCTTTGATTTTAGTCCAGCAAGCCCTGTGTCAGACTTGTGACCTATAGAACTGTAACATCATAAATTTATGTTGTCTTCAAACCAGCATGTTTGTGATAATTTGTTATGGCAGCAACAGGAAGTCAGTATAGTGCTGACATTTCTGTGAGAAAACAGACAATAACAAAGGAACAAACAGAGAAACTATTCCATTCAGTAACAGTATAACATATTTTCCAGGTCAACCCATAAAGATAAAATTTCTGCACAGTTTCAAAAACAGACTAGTAAACATAAGGAAAACATGAGAAGCTATCCTTGATAGTATAAAGAAAAATTATAATTAAATATCTAGAAATTAAATAAGATTCCAATGGAAAAAACTTGAAAAACCTAGTAAAGAATGTAGAACATTATCTGATAAATGAAGACACATTGCATGCTCTTGGATGGGATGATGAGTATTACAAAGACGTTAACTACTTGAAGTAATCTGTATGTTTCACTATCAATTCCAATAGGACTGTGTAAGGAACATGATAACAATTATTCTAAAATAAAAAGAAGCAATGAAGGATCATGGCTAAGGCTATGTCATAAACAAGTAAACTTGCCAAATATGGCATCAGGAAGACACAGTAAAAAAGCAGTGTGGTACTGTTGCAAGAATAGATAAATAGAACACTGGAAGAGAATAGAAAGCCTCAAGATGAAACTTTGGGTAACTAATGTATGATAAAGGTGGCATTACACACCAATGAGGGGGAGGCCTGGAATGTTTAATAGATACTGATGGAAAATCTAACTGGGTTGGGGGAGAAACTGGTGAATTATTATTTAATATCACTTACAATCTTGATAGACTATCAAAATTTGAAAGGTAAAACAATAATGCTAATAGAAAAAAATATGGGAAATATATTTGTTACCTAGGAATGGAGAAAACTTTTTAAAATGTCAGAAAAAATATAAGACAAAAAGATTGATTAATTTATATTGAAGTCATGTATTTCTATTAATTAAGTACACATTGAACAATGTTTATAAATAGATGAAAAAGGAAGAAAATATATGCAATATAGAAAACTGGATTAGTTTAGTAATTAATATTTAGAATATACAGAACTCCTGTAAGAAAGACAAAAATCCCAGTGGAAAGATGGACAAAGGACATGAACAGACAATTTATAGTAAAGAAAGCAGAAAATCTTATAAGCATATAAAGATGTGCTCAGACTCATCAGTAATCTGAGAAAATCAATAGTGAGACTGTAGTTCATATCTGGGGAAACAAAAAAGTTTAATCATGCTGAGGTTGGGAAGAACATGGGGCCATACTAGCCCTCAAAACATTGATGGGAGTAGGGTACACTGCTATAGTACTATGGACAGAAATTTAGCATTATTTGGTCAAACTGAGAACACTCATATTCAATGACTTAACAATTTCTCTTCTGTTCTTCACATATTATAGGTAAAATGAAAAGATCAAGCACAAAAAAGGAAGGATATTTGCAACATATAAGATGAAGAATTATTATCTAAACATAAAGAACTGCTGTCAAAAAAATAGAATTTATTAGGGATGGGGATGTGGCTCAAGCGGTAGCAAGCTCGCCTGGCATGCGTGCGGCCCGGGTTCGATCCTCAGCACCACATACAAACAAAAGATGTTGTGTCCGCCGAAAACTAAAAAATAAATAATAAAAAATTAAAAAAATAGAATTTATTGAAAAAATGGTTTAGAAAACTACTAAGCAGTTCATAAAGAGAAAATGAAAATGCTAATGAAACCAAGCAAAGGTGCTCAACCTCAATAGTAATCAGAGATACCAAATAAAATCACAATGAGAAACCTATATTACACATATTCAAACATACAAAAATTAAAAACCCAAACAACATAAACATTGGCAGGGGAATAGAAAAGTAAGAACTCATATATTTCTGGCAGAAACATAAATTGATACTAGCATGGAAAATGATGTAGCATTACCTATAAAGTCCCACATGTGCAGAACCTAATATCCAGTCAATCTACTCCTACTCCAGCACACAGTGCAACAGACATGTACTGGAATGTTCATAATGACATTGTTAATTGCTAAAAGTGGAAACAGTACAAATGACCATCAAAAGCAGAAAAGATAAATTATTACATATTTCTAAATCAGAGTATTACCCCAAAATGGAACAAACTTCAGCCACACAGCATCAACATTGGATGAATAGAAGAGACACAGTATTAATTCCATTTAAATAAGGTCAATAACAGAACACATTGAATGTATCTTATTTGGAAGTTCATACTTGAAAGCACGGGAAATATTGTAACAAAAGTCAATGTAGTGGTTATTTCCAGGGCAAGGAAGACAATACACTGTTAGGGCATTTTTAAAGGGTTGAATTATTTTAACCAAATTAGAGGAAGAGCTTCCTTTCAGAGCATTGTTAAGCACAGTTAATGTTATATTTCTTAATGGGTGCTAGTCGCACAGGTATTGCTGCTTTCATTAACATTTTTAATACAAGTCTGTATGTATAACTTAATTTGCAATGAAAATTATTTTTAACATGATTGGATTAGACATTCTCTAGTTTTTTTTTTTTTTTAAATCTTTGATACACTGTGGCAAAACCCTTCCCAAGTGGATGTATTGTTATCTCCTCAATTTAAGCAGTATGCACTGAGATATGATATACTGGTGAGTTAGAAAACTCTGAGGAAAAAAAAAAGTGAATTGAAGTAACAAAGAATCAGAAAATGGGAGACCAAGAAGAAGATCATGATGATTCAAGTCCCTCTTCTCAGAAAGGCAACTGGGGTTTTACTTGAGAGTCCCCAGGTTTCAATCTCAGTTCTGCTTTGGGTTGGGCAGATCTCGAATCCTCAGTTTCTTCACGCTGGCTTTGTAAACTGTACCCTGAGATCCAAGTAGGAGGACTAATGATTATTATTTTACAGTAGGGGAAACTGAGGCCACAAGGGTCACCACTAGCTCAAGTTGCCATCACCAGGTTGGAACTCGGGGCTTCTGAGGCCAACTCCCTGACCTCTGCACTGCCCCAGGGTACAGCTGTTCTCTCTTTACGCTGCCTGTGAGCGCACCGCTTGACGTCACAGAAGAACGCCCGGCCCCGCCCCCCGCCCCTTCGGAAGCCCCGCCTCCTCTTGGCCACGCCCCTCCGGCTTTCGCTAAGCCCCGCCCCTGCCGCTCGTCCTCGTGCGTCCCCGTCTGGCTTCTCTTCCGGCCCCACCCTCCCGGCTGCCATGACAACGAGTCCGCGCCCCGCGCTCTGCTGCTACTCCGGCGGGACCCAGGCTGGACCGCGGGCCCCGGCCTGGGGGCCACAGCTGCCACCGCCGCCGCCACCTCGTCTCCTCTCCGTCCCCGTCCCGCCCCGCGTCTCCCCGCCTCATTCGGGCCCGTGGCCGGGGTCCCTCCCCGCCGCCCGATCCCGGGCAGATGCCGAAGGTAAAGGCGCTGCAATGCGCCCTGGCGCTGGAGATCCGCTCAGTGAGTACGGTGGAACCCCCTCAACCCCCGCAGCAGCTGACTCACATTTGCCTCCCTCCCATCACCTCCGAGAGCCCGGAATCCCTCAAAGTCTCCCTCACCCCACGGTTGGTTCATCGCTGGGGAGCAGTACCCCCACGTCACCTCGGCCCTCCACCACCTCGAACACCCTCCCACTCCCAACAACGCCGAGGCCTTGACGCCCACCTCAGTTTTTCTTGTTTTATCCCAGCTTCCAGTTGGGTTGCTTTCAAATCATTTCCGAACTCTCCAGAGTTCCTCACTTTCCTCCAACTTTCAGTGAGTTGGGAGCGGTGGTGTTCTTTTCAAACGCTTCTCTGCTTCTCCTATTCGCTTAGTGAGAAAGTATTACTGTCCCTTGTCCCGGGCCTGGGGTGCGTGTGGCATTTCCTCCCAAATTGCTGCAGGCACACCCTTTTAGACAGGGTTCCAGGCTTCCCGTTAGTGACGACGGGGGCCTTTATTCTCAGTCATAGGGCGGATTCCCCACGTCCTATAAGCGAAATGCGGCATTGTTACACAAAGTGCCTTGCTGTCTCCTCCTGGGGCCACACCCGAGAAACCCAACTCCTCAGAAATTAGTTCAGGCCTCTGGAGTCTCCAGACTCCCGACTTTGCGAGGAATCCCTTCTCATCCTCCCAATTGTTTCACAAAAGTCTCTTTAGCTTTTAGAAGGGAACTCCTCATTCTCCAAACTTGCAATGCCACCACCCAGTCATCTCCAGACTTACTGAAAAGTACCTTTTCCCCAGCCTCCTGTGGCAATCCAGCTGAGGCAGACAGCCTCCATGTATGAGAAAACTTCATCCAATTTGATAGCTGCAGATCCTTCCAAGGGTTTTTAAATTCCTTCCCTTGCATTTGCTAGAGAACCTTCTAATTTTCCTCTTTAGACAAAGCTCAAACCTATTTTTTCTAGAGGAAATCCTCCCAAGAGCCCTTCACTCCCCTCTCTAGTTCTGTAGATACAGACCTTTAAACAGTTTGGAACAAATTCCATTTCTTCTCCTTCTTACTTAAATATTCACCACCACTTCCCTGGGTGCTGCCCCAGGGGCCCATCTGCAGTTCCTTCCTGCATGCCCTACAGGCAGTTTTTTCTTCACTTAACCTGAGCTTCAAGATGCCTCTCTTTCTTCCATATCCTTCTTCACTTTGAATGAGGTTGCTGCTGCAGGGATCTTAAAGCTGCAGAAAAGTCACAGAACTGTTTTAGATCTTTTGTTTGGTCTTTAAAAAAGAAGCTTGGGTGGGGCAATATAGGAAGGAAATTTCTGGGGCTTTTGTTTTCTGTTCAAGCTTGCAGCAGGTTTACTCTGAAACTATCATTAGCATTATATTTTTGCATCTTCAGCTGATTATTTATTTTTTGTAAAGTAAGTAGTTTAGCAGCAGAATACATGAAGCTTCTTAAACCTCTTGTTCTGGGCAGTTAGTAAAACTCAATAGATTTTGTTATTGGCTGCTTCTTCCCCACTTTGTAACCAATGGATTTAGCAGCCTGGGCATACAGCTGTCTGACAGGCTAGCTGCCACTTCACTCAATTGCCAATACAAACTTGCTAAGAGGAAGTACTCTGCTGCAACTGACTATTGCCCGAAGGTGTCAGAAAAAATACATTTTATCTCACTATTTTGACTTTTCTGTATTAGTTGTACCACAGAAAATAAATAATGTATATTGGAGCTTTGTTATTCATCAAAGCTAAAGAAAACTATGTAAGTGAAAATATTCTTATTTAAAAAAATAAACATTTGAGCTACAGAATTTTATAGTTCTAAGAAGTCTTTGCATGTAGTCCTTTTTACAGGTGAGAAAATCAAGGCTAAATTGCTTATGCAGGGTTGCACAACTATTTTAGGGGCAGATCTGCAACAATTTCTTTCCAGTAGAAGCCTTTTAAATATTGCTGATTCTCAGAAGGAGCAAAAGACTATTAGCAATCATGTAAGTTAAACAAGTTTGATTAATTTGACTTTTATTATATAGAGGAATCATATGAATAGAGATATTTTAAACATCTTTATGATTACAGTTTTTCTTTTTCAATTTATTTTTTATATTTACATGACAAAAAGGTCAGAACTATAAAATGATATACTGAGGGAAGTTTTATTTCCAGTCTCTCTGTCTCATATCTGATAAAAGGTAACCACTTTCATTGTTTGTAGTATAAACAGATATACACATACTCCCCCCTTTCTTAACTTTCCTTCTATTCTTAGATAATAGGCAGTATATTACATAAACTATTCTTTATGTTGATTTTTTTGTCTTCATTTAAGATATCTTGGAGATCACCCTATATCTATGAAAATTGATCTTTCTCCCAAGTTTTTAAGTGAAAATTTTCAGACCTGGAGTTGGAAGAATCGTTCAATGAATAACTTGTATCCCATGACCTATATACATTTATTTGATTTCACTGTATATATGCATAAAAATAAAATATTTCTTGCTGAAAATTTCAAAGCAAATTGTTGTCATCATGATGCTCCACTCTTAGATACTGCAATATTATCACACAAATGACAATTAATGATAATTTCCTAATATCTAATCCATGTTCAGGTTTTCTGTATTGTCAAAAGAATAACTTTATAGTGAATTTTTTCAAACTAAGATCCAAAGCTTACATGTGAATTTGACAATGTTAGGTCTTTATTAATCATTTTAATACAGAGCAGTTCTATTTTTTTCCTTTTCCATGATGTTTCTCTTTTTATTTACAGTGAATTTAGATATATTCATGCATTTGAGATTTAGAACCCTTCCATCACACCACAAAATTCCCTCATGCTCCTCTCAAGCCACATGAAAAAAGAACTACTATTCTGATTTCTTTTACTCTAGATTAGTTTGCCAGTTCTTGAACTTAGTAGTTGAAGTGTGTAGTTTTCAGTATTTTGTATCTGCCCAGCATGGTTTTGAGGTTCAACTATGTTATGTGTATCTGTGATTTGTTCCTCTGAATTGTATTCTCTTGAATGTGTACATTAACTCATTCTTTTTTAATGGACAAATAAAAATGGACATATTCAGTGTTCAAAATGATGTTTTCACGGATATATACATTGTGAAATGATTAAAGATAATTAGAATACCCATCGTCTCACATACTTTTTTTGTATGTCATCTTAAATAGATCTTAAGATCTATTTTCTTTGGATTTTTAAAGTATATAATCCATTATTGTTAACTATAATCCTGTGTTATGAAATATACAATATATCTTCAGAGCTTATTTACCTTAACAGAAACTTTGCACCCCAACATCTCCTCATTTCCTATACTACTTACCAGACCCTGACAACCACCATTCTACACTCTGCTCTTATGAGTTTGAATGTTTTTAAATTCTGTGTATAAATGAAATAATGCACTGATTGTTTTTCTGTACCTGGCTTATTTTATTTAGCATACAATTATTTAGTCCTTTAGATTTATGCATATTGTTGCAAATGACAGGATCTCCTTTTTTTTAAAAGGTTCAACAGTGTGTCAGGCAAAAAATATATGCCACATTTTAAAAAATCCATTCATCCACTGGTGGAAAATTAGGCTGATTCTGCATCTTGACTATTGGAAATAACGCAGCAATAAATTTGGGCATGCAGATACCTTTTCTACACTCTTCCTTTCAAAGGAAATGATTTGATTTCCTTTGGATACATAGAGAGAAGTAGGTTTGCAAGATCATATGGTAGTTCTATTTTTAATTATTTGAAGAAGCCCCATATGGTTTTTTGTAATGGCTATACTAATTTATATTTCCACCAACCCAATGCAAGGGTTTCCTTTTCTCCACACTCTTTGCCATAAGCATTTTGTTCTTCATTGCTATCTTTTGTCTTTTTGATAATAGCCATTCTAACTGTGAGGTGATATCTTAGTGTGGTTTTGATTTGCATTTCTTTGATTAGAGATGGGAGCACCTTTTAATATGCCTGTTGGCCATTTGTATGTCTTTCTTTTGAGAAATGTCTATTCAGGCCCTTTACCCATTTTTAAATCAGGTTTTTGTGTTCTTGCTATTGAGTTCTTTTGATCCATGTGTGCTTTGGAATGGACTCTTCATCAGATATAGGATTTGGAAATACTTTTTCCATTCCAGAGGTTGTCTCTTTACTCAGTTGATTGCTTCCTTTGTTGTGAAGAAGCTTTTTAGTTTGATGCTATCCATTGTATTTGAGTTGTTTCCAGGTTGCAATTGTCATGGATAAAGCTACTTTGAGCATTCATTCTTGTAAAAATCTTTTTATGGACATTATCTTTTGAAGAGACAAGGCTCAGATATAGAATATCTCATATTGTGTTAGTGCCTGATTTTTTTTTCCTTTTGTGGTTAAATACAACTTTTTCCCAATTCCTATAAATTGGGAAGTTAAATGTTCTGTTTCTTCTTGTCTGTTGCAAGTGTAGCACTCCACTAACCTTTCTCCCTTACGTGTTTTGTTACTGTTGATGTTATCTTACATTAGTAGTAATCTCATATTGTAATATGTGTTATAATATCTAATATGAGAGCAGTGAATATGAAAGGTTTGGATGTATTATGCAACATTTTGTGTTGCTGAACAGAACCACCTGACTTGAGGGAAAATATGTTGCTGGGAGAAAAGTGTGACTTTTCTCAATGAATCTTTAGAGAATAATAAGATATGCCAAGTAATTTGTTTTTTAAGAGCGTCAAAAGAATTATATTTCCCAATGTCAGATCAGGCTGGGCAGGCAGCGACCAAAGAGGCAGATTTAAAAGGGCCGCTGAACAGGCTTTATTGAGATATCACTCCTGGGTGGAACTAGATCAGACCCACAGAGGGGACAGGGGAAGGGTCTGAGGAGAAACCTCCTGGAAGCTTGACTGGACTAGACTTTTATGGGGCTTACAGCAGGAAGGGAAGGGCTTGGGACAGGAAAAGGTGTCTCTAGGGTTCCTTGCCCCCTTGGAGTTGGTCAGGGGAGTTGGCTGAACTCCAGGAGTGGCCAGGGGGTCCTGCTGATTGACAGGCGTTAGTCAGGAGATCTGGCTGATTGACAGGCGTTTCTGCCCACAGGCATCTGATTGATGTTCAAAGCAGCCAGGGCTGCTTTGTTCTAAGTTGCCACTAAGTCGCCACCAAGTCGCTGCCACCAACCTAACACCCAACACTTAACATTTTTTTCAATAAATATTTTTAATATTTGAAATATATTATCTTTCATTGGAAGAAGTACTTTTTTGCTGCTTTCTCTCTTTACCTTGTTGCTCCTTTTATTTAGGGTATCAGTTTCTCTGAGATTATTTGGGAAAATAGAAGGGATAAATGGAAGTAAAGCTCAATGCCAATGCTGAGGCAGTGAAACCATTCCATTTTCTATGCTATATATGAGTGTCAGTTTGGAGTTAAATAATTCCTTCCTTCCTTCCTTCCTTCCTTCCTTCTTTACCACATTATCTAACTCAAATTAATGATAGCATTGAGGCAAATAGACAGGGGTCCTCTTCCGTCAGTACTCTTCTGAACACTTGTTCATCTTTATGATCCTTACTCAGGATACTGTGCAGTAGTGTCTCAGTCACAGTCATGCTATATAGTTGGTGGCAAATTTTCCTGGAATGTAGATTTAGAAACTTTTTAAATTATAAAATACTTAGGATTTACATAAAAAATATAAATACTGAACACTATGGCTTACCTGCATTTAACAATGATGCATTTTATGTTCGGTGCACGTTTTTGTTTTTTTTTTTTTTTTTTTTAATTTTTTATTGTTGGCTGTTCAAAACATTACATAGTTCTTGATATATCATATTTCACAATTTGATTCAAGTGGGTTATGAGCTCCCATTTTTACCCCATATACAGATTGCAGAATCACATCAGTTACACATCCATTGATTTACATATTGCCATACTAGTGTCTGTTGTATTCTGCTGCCTTTCCTATCCTCTACTATCCCCCCTCCCCTCCCCTCCCCTCTTCTCTCTCTGCTCCCTCTACTGACATTCGTTTGTCCCCCTTATATTATTTTTCCCCTTCCCCTCACTTCCTCTTGTATGTACTTTTGTATAACTCTGAGGGTCTCCTTCCATTTCCATGCATTTTCCCTTCTCTCTCCCTTTCCCTCCCACCTCTCATCCCTGTTTAATGTTAATCTTCTTCTCCTGCTCTTCGACCCTACTCTGTTCTTAGTTACTCTCCTTATATCAAAGAAGACATTTGGCATTTGTTTTTTAGGGATTGGCTAGCTTCACTTAGCATAATCTGCTCTAATGCCATCCATTTCCCTGTAAATTCTATGATTTTGTCATTTTTTAATGCAGAGTAATACTCCATTGTGTATAAATGCCACATTTTTTTTATCCATTCATCCATTGAAGGGCATCTAGGTTGGTTCCACAGTCTAGCTATTGTGAATTGTGCTGCTATGAACAT